ACAAAACGTGTAACTGCCTGTACTTTCTGGGAGTAGCCAGCTGTAGGTGCTTAGAGAGGGAGGGACATGGGTGCAGACAGGCAGTCCTTCACCTAGCCCTCTCCACCTGAACCAGGGTTTACAACTCTAGGGAGTGTTAATTAGATGATTCTTCATATGTTTTTTCATTTTGAAATCAATTCTGCAGGATTCCTAGAAACTATTCTTCTGTGTAGGAGTAGACAATTGGTGGAATTACTATCGGTGTGTCTCCAGTGTTTTCAAGTTAGTCCATTAATATGAAAAGGTCACGTAAGTGCAGAGGCAGGGACTGACTCAGGTAGGTCAGCCGAAGTCTGAAGCATGGCAAGCCGCTAGCCCGTACTTGTTAGTGTTTGTGTAACAGCCTGCTGTTTTCTAACACGTGACTTTCTTAAAAATTAAGGTGGCATTACCAAGTGTTTGCAATTCCAATTTTAAGACTGCCTGTTACAACTAGAAGCTTTTACGGAGTTGTGCGACTTTCACTGTAGCTGTCCAACTAGCCTGCACCCCGCACTGACCTCCTGCAACAGGAACCCTTTAAAACCTTCCATGCAGCACCGTTGATTGACACTGGTGGGATCAGGTCTTAAAGCTACAAGACTGATTTGTCCCCTAGCACCCTCACACAGCACAGCAAGGCACCCGTCACAGTTTTCTGCGGCAAAGAGAGAGAACTTGACAAGCACCCAAAACACCGACATTTTTCACTTCAGGCTACACTCTTTTCAGTGTATTAAAGCTCTCTTCAAACTCCTGAGACAAGTCCTCTACAAAAGCGAAATCTAAAAGGAAGGAGGAAAAAAGGGTGCCATATACTCATGTTAAAAGTTTGCCTTCCTAGAGTAAAATGAAAACTCAGAGAAATGAGTGGCAGTTTGTAATGCACAGAATTTTCTAAGAGGAGTGGAACTACCTACCATTGCAGTCTCAGCCAGTGATTCATCTGTGAGCCAGAAACCCATTCTGCCTTATATTTAGTGCTGCCTTACACCTCCTCAAATAATTCCTACAAGCTTGTGTTCTCTGTTTACTCTGCTGGTCCAAAAATGGTCAAATAACAGTTGAAATGCAAGTGCTCCATTTTGTTAAAAATCAGTTCAGTAACAGTAGGTACCTGGTAATTTCTTTCATGCTTCTCCCCTTGATCAAACATCCATACTCAGCGTTTCTATTAATTACTGTTTTGGGTTTTTTTTAAAGTTTCAACTGCTCATCAGACTTGGGAATTTGCAACTCATAATGCTGATAATAAAAAAACTGAATACTTTCCTCCACTCTCATATGTTCATACAATTGCAGGTAGCCCACCACTCCCCCGCAGAAAGAGACAAAAGCCTGACCCTTAAGAAAACCTCAGAGCAATACATTAAACCCCCCAAACCCACATGCCTTTTCATATTCAAACTACACACAGCAACAGAGAAACACCTTACCGCTCTGCGACCGCTCTGCGACCGCTGTTCTTCACAGGGCCTGGTTGAAGATCAGAAGAAAATGCGGGCGAGTCAGTCAGGTACCGGAGCTTTTCACTCTTCCTTTGCCAGGCCACAGCGTCGTTAAAAATAGAGGTGTCTGAGCAGAAGAGTCTCAAAGGCTACTGCAAGCAGTTTTTGAAGTAACATTAAATCTGCTTTCCATCACCAGCATCATTCATGTTATACTTCCATGGGCCTCTGTTGAATTATTTGGAATGGGTATTGTCTTACTGTAACCCCACCATATGTCTAGTGCTGCTCTCGTCCTTTTCCAGCTGTAAAAATTCAACCATGCATCACAGCTAATTTGGGCATTTGCTTTCTTCAATACAGCTAGGTCACTTCAGAGGAAAACTAATCAGTTGTAAACCCACAAAACTGGCAGGGAGACTTGAAATGATCAGATTTTAAAAATATTTAAAATGAACCAAACAGTGGAAGTTTACATATGAGTTATTAGGTGGTTAGTCCAACTCTCCAGATATGCAAATACATATTCATCAGCTTGCCATATGCTCACTGAAATGTGCAAAGCAACAACCTCCTCCTGCCCCAAAAGCTGTCTTCCATTTCTGTTAAATGGAATTAGTGCTTCCTTGAATTAAAAACTGTCAAATCTGTGGGTTGGCTGAAGTTTTACAACATTCAAAGTTTTCATTAAAGTGAATTTTTTTTTTGGTGTCATTTAACATACTTATTTGAGGACTTTGGTCCTTCCTTTATGCGTTTTTATGGGTTTATATGACAAACACACGTGTGTGCACACAAAACACCAGAACCCCTTTACTACAGCTACTTCTGCATGTCATTTGCTGTCACTGCGATGAAGAGCTTTCACTTCTGAAAATGGAAATAGCACTGTAAGCCACTAGTGGCATGGATTTAAATGACTTTCCCATCTTCAGTCAAAATTTGATTGTATGCTTCAGACCAACAGATGCTTCACAAGCCATCTAGCTCCCAAGTGACCTCAAATCTGGGGACTTCCTTTTCAAATGTGATGGTTTAGCCGCAGCAATGAGTGACTGGATTGGAAATGCTGCCTACAGCAAGCTCTCCATCATCACCCTCATCTCAGCTCTTCTGAAGTCCCTCTCCGCAAACATCGTTGCTCCCTTCTCCAGCACAGGAAGCAGCACAGATGATAAACCCAGAGTCAAAGGCAAAGCCCGGAAATTCTCAGGCACTGTAGAGAGAAGCTTAATTTTAAGTTTCCCCATCACACAGGACAGGACAGGGTGACCAGGAACCTTTTCACACAAGTAGTCAAACCTCAGGAACACAACATAGCTTTAGGTAACAAAGCCTTTCGGGTTCCAACAGCCAAGAGAATACTTTTCCCAGAATACACTGAAGAAGTCCACAGAGGATGTTTGTTTTTTTTCTGAATGAAAGAGGATGAACCTCAAACTTAAATTGTTTGTGCTTGGAATGACCTTTATACACAATTCAGAACTTAAAACTGAGTAAAAAAATTCATGCCAAATACTGAAAGGAGATTTGTAAGTGAAACCAATTTCACACAAAAATAAATTTATTTAAAATCTTAACACAGTAAAATTCCTTCACTGCACAAATCAAAGTATTAATCACGTTGATGTCTGTTGGATAACACTTTACTTACTAAAAAAAACCTCTGTAATGTTGAGGTGGGGGACCCCAGAAAGTAAGCTACGTTAGAACTAGATACCATATAGCTTACGCGGCCACATGAGAAATGTTTTCTGCTGCTTTGTTATTACACAGGTAGTTGGTTCTATCAGCTCCAGCCTACTGACTTGGATTTGTTTTATGCATATTGGGTTTTGTTCTATTACTTTCCAAGAGATTGTACTCCCCTGAGTCAGCTGTGTTCATTGGTCAGAATAAATTCCAGCATCTGACACCATTTCCATTAATCACAGACAAGCCCGTGTACGTGAGCAAGATAACAGAAAGATAAAACAGTACCTGGTGAACGGGAAACATTACTTATGTATGCTGTTCACTAATACAGTAGGAAGGTATCTGGGAAGCATTTTTTCAACTTTGATAGACAAACTGAAAGACAAGAAGATGGGCACTGTATGAAGTACTTACTCCACAGGGAAGAGAGTGTCTGGAACCACACAGGTCATGTAGCACCTTGGTAACACTTTTACAACCTATTGTTACTACAGCTATGCTACAGTCATAGCTTCCCCATGTATTTGCAAGCAATTTTAAGATAATTTGCTACTTAAACAGCTGTGAAATTAATTTTTATTACACTGATCCTAAGCTGGACCTGTGAGGTTGAACACTTCACCCACACATCTGTAAATAATATATTTAGTATTAAGTGTCTTCCCACCCATTACAAGTTAGGTATCATGGATCTAAAACACCAAGCATTTTTCAATGTAATAAGCAGTCAAGGCATTTCACTTAACCCTGTCATATTAAGCCAGATATGAAGCAGAGCTGGTTAAAAAAAAAAAAAAAAAAGAGACATAAATTGTATTTGCCTATAAACACTTCTTGGCTGTAAGAGGGGAAAAAAAAGTACTTAGACATCCAAAACCTATAAAGCAGGAAGTTGCAATTCAAATAACTCTAGTTCTCAGTGGCATACTAAAGATACCACAAAAATACTTCTTGTATATATCAACAACGCTACAACACCTATAGTCTGATTAAATTAAGGCTTTGTTTCTTTTATTAAAGAAAAGTTGGTAGCCTTCACCACCACACAAAGTCAAGGTTCTGGTGCTGTGCAAAGGAGGCACGATAAGGATAACAGCGCTGCCCACAGGAGGATTCTGTGGCAGGCTCCGCTGTGCGCAGAATTGAGTCGGTGTCCTACAGCACGAACTGTGGGAATAAAGCTGAACATCCAGGAGTTGCAGCGTTCAGCAGCATTGCTGATCGTCCTGTACGGTTCACAACGAGGCCCACAATGGTGCCATCTAAACAGGATAGCCTAGGAGTCAATTTTCTCTTGCCACTGTCAATGTAAATCAAGAGTTAAAAATTACATTAAAATGCATTTCTAAACCAGAGTAATCAGAAAGTTAACTGAAAGGAGGAGAGAGAGTCCAATTCTTCATTTTATATCTTACTCTGAAAAACAACACTGTCAAAAAATAAACTCAGAGCTCTTGCAGGTTTTGACATAGGATATGAAGTATTTTCTTGATAACATACAAATAGCAAACAAATACAGACCTGGATTATTCTGTTTTATTCCAAGAACTCACTTTTCAGTGTAATCTTTTGCAAATGTCTGCCATTTGCAATACAAGACTATCTAGGCCCCATGCTAGATTTCTTTATATTTACATTATACCAGCACAGCTTTAACTTCAAGGAACTTGCTTCTGATTCACAGCAGAGGAAGACTAGGCTTTCTGTTTCAGAACTAGAATTAAAAATAAAAGAAAGAAAGAACATTTCAGGCAATGTGTTTTCCCTCTTCAAAAATTCAAGCGTTAAGGTGCCTATTCAGAACCATTCTAAAAATGCCTCGGTTCTAAAAATTGTTCAACTCTTGTGCAGACAGTTTTGATTACACTGATCCAGGTAATCTGCTGGACAGTTTAACAAGGTTGTTTTATTTTTCATTTCCCAAAACATATTCTCATTAGGCTTTGGAGGACTTGGGAATACCCAGGAATTATCTTCCAGAGAGCTCTTTCCATAAGAATGGTGTTCCTGAAACGTTTTGCCATCTCCTGGAACAGGTCTCTCATCTGTCCATGCTTGTAGAGTCACCTTTTCAGATGGGATTTTTTCATCTCTCGGCAGAGGGAGAGACACGGCATTGCAGAGTACTTTATCACTTTGTAAGAGTTTTTTATAGACCACCCCAGATGTCGAATTCAGTTTCGAAATGTTCGCGTCAACACACTGTACTGGTGCAGTAGAGGCAGCTGAAGAAAGAAGATAAAAGAAATTTTAAAATTACATTTTCTAATGCGTTTTTCATATACTCCAAACATGCTACAGTACAGCAGGTATATTAAACCCAGTGTTTTCAAGCTACCAATTTTCAGACCATATCTTACTTCAGTAACTACTTAAAAGTTATGAACTAAACGTACTGACCTCCTCAGTTTGATTTTGCAAGATGAACCGGAGATCCTGAAATCGCAATGTCTAAACTATACCCAACACCAAGGAAACCTCCAAGTTCCTACTTGAACACAAGAACTGATGAATCTTTTTGACAAGACTGGAAAGAATGCTCAAACTGAGAGGATTTTCATGCACTTGGAGAAATCAACCAGATTCAGAATGTCGAAGCAGGAAGAGAAATGCATGGCATTCACAGGTTCTCTGTGCTCCACTATTGTCTGACTTCCAAAGTAAAGCAACAGACTGCAATTTTCAGCCATCTGAAATTCCAGGGGAGTTTTAAACCACAAGAGGGACGGAAGGATTTTGAAACACAACAGCATCTACCTGAAATGAAAGAGCTGCACCTTCAACGCACATCTGAACAGATGGCCAAATACAACCAGGTCATTTACTGTAGTGATAACTTACATAAACATGTAATGGGAGTAGAATAATAACTCCTGCAGTTGAAGGAACCTACATCTTAAAGGTAGTTTTCTAGGACAGCTACAAATCTTGAATATGAACTGTGATTTGTAACTTTAGCGCTTACGGGGCAGAAAGAGGAGCAAGTATCTTGGTCGGAGAATACAACTTGCATTTGTCATGATAAATTAAAAGGTGGTACCCAATTTGCAAATGTCAGCCAAAAGCACTTTCCAGTAGCACAGGCATCATATCTGAAAAAGATACTAAGGAACTGCATTTGGCCTCTTTGTACTGACAAGTGTAAAAAGCAATTTGAGGTCTAAAGAAGTCAAGAAAAATTGAATCCACTGAAAAATGAACTGAAAACATAAAAAAAAACCCCAAAAGTGGACACGTTTGTTGAAAATGCCTCCATACATAAGGGACAGTTCAAGTAGAAACCGCATGTTAACTGGTATTGTTAGCATCATACACACAGCAATAAATACGTTGTGTTCTGCAGACTTTAAGACCTCTTATACTGGCAAGTAGTTTGTATATGGTAAAATAGCTAGTACTACAGCTATAGGAAGTGGAAGTTTTAAGACAATTCTACCCATATTTTACATAAGCCAAGATTTTTCTATAAATAAAAGCATAGGTATATCTGCATTGCATTCATAAGTGTGGCTGACAAGCAAGGTGAACAAATAAAATAAAATGTAGTTTTCATTTCTGGTGAACCTATCCTCTCTTACATACTTCTGAAAGATCACTGAAAAAAGCTGACAGAGCAAACGGCAAAACCTCATTGTTTCCCAATCAATCAAAAACTTCTGCATTAGCAACTGCAGAAAATCAGACTGTTCACCAGGCAGGAGAAGAGAAAAACCAGTCCGTGCGTGGTGGCAAGACAGGTAACTCCAAATTAAATATAAGGACAGAAAGATACATGATCACATCAGAGCTCAACAGACTTAAAGATTAAAACCTCATTGTGATAGTTTGATGTGGGGGGGGGGCTGTTCTGGTGGCAGGGGAGGGGATTTGCTCCCTGTGCCACCAGATCTGAGTCCCATCCCCCCCGGGGGAGGTTGAGCCAAATCGGCGCCTCTGCGAATTGCCCTATTTAAGTTGAGACAAAGGGGCGGGAAAGGGCTTTTTGCTCAGGAGCGAGGAGAGAGCAGGAGGGCGCTGCCCTCGCTCCCGGCTCCCGGCCGGGCAGCTGCCCGGGCC